GTCTAATATATAAAGAAGTCTATAATAGATTCCCTAGTATCAACATAGTGCACAAGTAACTGTGTCAGCATATAAGAGGTAGCTAGATCAGGAAGTCTTAAAATAGGCTTAATATGCAGCAAAATGAATTTTAGGTCTAAGCCCCAGAAGAAACTCAATACTAAACATTATATTTTAAAGTCTTGATTAAATCTAAATCATGTTGATTTGGTACCTGAAGAATCTTTTCTATGAATCAGTTTAGATGAGAAATTATTATTCACTATTTTAGACTAACATTGTTAGATCTAAGCGTAAATCCACAGAATACCAGGTATTGTGTCTCCCCCTATTTTAAACTTGCATCATTTATTGAAGTTTTTTTTTACAGGATGTACACAGTCACTGGTCCAATTACCATTATTTGTACAAGAACACTTTTGAGAAGCACCGTAAAAGTAACAAATACCTCACTGAAATTTGAATTCTAACAATGGTTTCAAACAGGAGTGAAAATGCTTTGACTTTATGTCCTAACATTTTTAAATACACCCCATTGGTAACATCACATAAAACATCCAATGAACTTGACATAGAAACAAAGGTTATTTTGTTCATATTCTTTTAATAAAATCTAGTGTTTACTGTTTCTAATGTTCTTTTTTATAAAACAATTACTTTTGCAAGAAATTTAAATTTGAAACTGAATCCATTCTTTAATTTAAACTTAAAGAAAACAAAAATCAACTTATGATTTGTTTGTACTTCTTATTGTGAAGCTGCTGAGACACCTCATATATTTATGACATGGTAAAGTTAACTAAAACGATGTACTTCTCTGAGCTATTGTTTCAATCAGAGGAAGTTTTCATTACAACTTGGAAATATTTGTGGGGTCTCTGGTATCATATTCTTCTCAAAGAGGTAGTTATAAAAATACAGGGTCTTTTTAACAGATTAAATTCATTAAATCTTCCTCAGAACTTAATTGTTAATTTGACATTTTTTATTACATTAAGTATCCTTTTTTAGGAATCTCACTTGTGGGTTTTCTTATTTGCATGAAAGATGAGTGTTTGAAAACAATTTCAGTAAGTTAAAAAGATTTTTGTCTTTGTAACTACACAAACAGCTTTCCAGTGTAACAGTTTCATGATCACAGAGGAAGGATAAATATGAAGTTGAGAATTCTAATAATTTAAGAACCTGCAAGTGAAAGTAAATGAGAATGTTACAATATGTCAACCACACCATCTTTTCTATATCCAGTGCAAAAGAAGCATTTCCTTCATTACCAGCGATCATCAGTACAGCTGGAATACCCAAATACAATAGTGGTCTAGATGCCACATATATCATCAGTTATCATTAACAACAACTGTTATGATGTGAATCAGATTAAACAAGTGAATTGTAATTATTAACAATTTTATTTACAAATCAGATTTTTAGCTGTGTCTCATAAAACAGCTGTTTTTTTTCAAGTACAAACTTTTAGCTTATAGCACCATTATCTCTTGACAGATTTAGATCTAATTACAGTTTTGGACTTAGAAGGTCAAACCCTTTCAATTGATGTATTTGATTATGCTCAAGGTCGCATAGATTCATTTACTCTAATCCTGCCTAAAAGAATTTCAAGTGTTGTGGCTATTGAGGACTCCCTCTTGCTATAATGGGAATTAATAACATTATTTATTATTATATTTGAATTAACTTTTTCATTCAGAAGAACTGGTGAAACAGTAACTTTAGTCTGCTTGTTCAAGAAGTGGGTCATGCAACCACATCAATGGGGGAAAATTATGTTAGTAATTTTAAGGATTATATATTGTAATATGTCAGCCACATTACATCTGCTATATTGAGTGCCGATTGGGCCTTTCACCCAATACCAGGGCTCCTTAAGACATTTATTTTAATTATTTAGATGTGTGAATGACATTTACAGAAGTTTTTAAAGCTCCAAAATTCCTTGCATGTAAACATTAATTTCACCCATGAGAAAGATCAACGTTTTAATTTCCCTATTGTATGATTAAAAAAAAACTCAATCAGAAGTTTTTTTTAGAAAAACTTGTACCTTATTTGGAATTTTATATGCCACATGTCATAAACTAATAGATACTATAAAAAATGACATTAGTAGCCAACAAAAGCAATCTATACAGGTTACCAATAAGTTCGAAAGACACTCATGATAATAACAACCGATCATCTCTGTGACATCATACAAAAACAATTTTGATGCATAAGTTCAGGTATAGGTTGGTAAGACCACAGTAGTGTATAATTTCTAGAAAAAAGTACCAGGTTCCTGTTGATGGGTGTGTGTGGGATTTTGAGTTTTGTAAGATAATTTAAATGTTACTGAGACTATTATTTTGGATAGGGCTAGAAGGAATTAATACAGTTGAACACTTTCAGTCAAGTATCAGTTTATAATGCAATTAAAGTAGCATTAAAATTTAGTTTTCACTTTCAGATTTAAAAACAATCCAGAACATGTCCTGGATCTCGGATCAGACAAAAATTAAATATTGTATTGGACCACAGAATACAAACAGCCATGCCAAAATGAAATGATCCTAGGCATTAACCATATTTTTGCGAGGTTGCAGAGTTGGACAATGGGAGGGCTATCAAAACCAACCAGGTCCCTTGCTGTATCACTCTACAGTGAATAGAGTGACGATGCAGTTCCAATCAAGACAGAAAACAACAGTTCCTCTATGACCTGGCCACACTCAACCAACAGAATAAACTATTTTTGTTGTGAAGAGAATAACCAATGTTAAATGACTGATACTATTATAGAACAGATGCAACAGTATCTCAACATCATCAGCAGTTATTTTTATACCATGAGTTACAATGACAAAGTAGCTGGAAGGAAACCACTCCTCACTTCAGGCAGTACCATGTGTCAACAGCAGTGACCATATGCTATTACCTTATGGGACAGATTTTTCAGAAGTCTTAGATTTGCAAAAATCTCTAACACTGGAAGTGTGGAAAATATTCTACTAGGAACTTACAATGAACTACTTGCAAGCCACAACAAAATACAGTTGTATTTCTGTCATTGTTTGAGGTGCCATTTGGGCAGTCGAACAATCACATATGCTCAATGAAACCTGAATCCATTGCCAAGGGAGCAATTTATAGCATAAAATGTATTAATTGTAACACATTAACATAACAGCAAATGTACAAACTTATGTTAAAGTTTTTCTTCATTACCCATTCAAGCTGTCTCCAAACATTATTAGTCTCAAAGTGGGTTCCTCGTCATCGAATTTGTAACTATGGTTATATGATCTATTATCAAGAACTGAAGAACATAGATTGGCTCTGTCATATTTATTAACATTTTAAAACAAGAGTTAAAATAATATGGCAAATATTGTATGAAAATATGAATAAGTTTAAAAGAAAAGATTTAAATTAAACAAGTGAACAAAATGAAGGTGGCTTGTCATATCTATAATGTCACTTTTTTACATGATGTGTACAGAAATACATCAATATCCTGTAGAGTAAATCAGATTATACCGTGTTAACACACTGGTAAAACTTGTAAGAGTATTGTATTTTAATCGTTTTTTAGTTATTATTGCAGTCTATATCTTTAATTATAAATTTAAAAGTTCATTTAAGTTTGACAAAAACTAGCACAGCAACTGCCTCTTTTTATTCAAAATGTACACTAAGTTAGAGAATGATACAGTTATATCATCATAGCTTATATCACCAGCTGTTAAAGCAAGAAATACCTCTGTTTGGCACACTAATTTATCTTGCAGACATGAGATACATTTTAAAAGTAACTATTAAAATTAGAATAGGGCCCTATCATGCAGAATAGGGTTAACCACAGAGATGTCTTCTTAAACAGTGATGATTGTAGACCAAAATCTAGTCCTAATATACTTGAATATAATGGTTGACATTTGACCTGATGATCAGCAATTGTGTTCTGGACCCAATTAATTACAGATCTATCTGATTTGTCCTATGACTATCAGACTCGTTTGCATAAATTCTCATTTATGAGCTTAATTAATTAAACATGAGAATTCATGATGGTTTGTATATATCAGTCTAAATGCCATCAATACACTTTTTACTGTAGTTATGTTTCTGGGCCAAATTGCTGATGATGTGTAGCAATATCAAAATCAAACTTCTTAAAAAAATAACTAATAGTTGACAGTACCAACAAAACAAGATTCTCTGGAGATATGATCTATCTTTTAGGATGAATAAAGAAATCCACACCCCTTATTTATCCACTGTTATGTTAAAAGGATGAAGCCCAAGTTAAAACTTGTCCCAGGGGTGCAACAATATGAATTCCACCTCTGCACACAAATGCTAATTCAACCAATTTGTGCAAGATATTTGCAGAAAGACTAAAGTATAGAATCATTATTCTTATAAAGCATAATTTGGTAGGCTTAAATCAAGCTTTTTGTCACCTTGAAGTGGGTTTTTGCTTACCAACCAAAAGCAAGTTAGCATTTACCACTGTTGTGTCAACTGGATGAAGCCCAAGCTAAAAACTCTTTTTGTATCTTATTTTAAGCTAATCTGCATAATAATCTTAGTGTGTAAATTTTGGCCAAATAATCCATCTCATATTTGTACCTGTGAAGAAGTTATTAATTTCTGTTATTTCAAATGCCTAAATTTCAACAAGGTATTTACAGATTCATTCACTTCTTAAGAAAAAAAAAAGAAAGATATTTTTTATATATCAATTGGAATCAGTCATGGTAAAAAATCCACCATCAGTTACAATTAAGACTGACTACTCCTTCCAGCAAGTTTGAATTTAATTATTCTTTAAATGTACTGTTTTATCTAATTGAGTTTTTAGATTCGACATCATTTTTATGATTTCAAGATATCTAGAGAACCTACAAGTTTGTTGACCAGCTGACTGCTCTAGAATGTACTTGGCATAAATGATTACGTGAATGTTTTTCTAAATAAATATTAGTGGATATGAACAATGTGTTTCTAATAGTATGTTTGGTGTATTATTTTCTTATCATATCAATAGTGGTTATTAAAATAGAGGTAGCATGAAAGTGTTTGACTTTGAACTAAGATTCAGGCAATCCACAGTCGTGTGTTTTTCATGGTTAAACAACAGATGTTTCACTCTAACATTTTTTAAAGGCATCTTTGTTTAAAATACTTTTAACCACAATTCATATGTACTATATGTAAATGCTTAATGGAATGCCTATAATAGTCCACACAGCAATATAATTTAATAGTTATTCTGTCAGCTAAAATTATCTTCAGTGCACTGACTTGTTAAATGTACTAATTTAAGCAATGCTGGCATCAATTTACTTTTGAATCAAGTTTTTAAAATAATCTAATGTATATATAAAAACTCATAGTCTTTTGATAAAGCTCCATTCATCTGTGTGCTTGTTGTATGCAAATTTCAAAAACATCTAAGTTAGAGGTTAGTGATCATAATTCTTAGGTTTTCATGAAGTTTTCAGTTTTACTACTACTTTTTGTGGATAAAACATTTTTTCTTTCTGTCTCCTAAACATATTGCCATTATTCTTAACTAATGACAGAACTTGAAATTAATTTTTAGGTTTAAACTTTGTGATAGAATTTCCTAGTTATTTATTACTACCCTGGATAACTAGGGCTACAACGATGGCTTTGGGATGAAAACCTATATATATATAGCAGCCACTATTTTTTGGTATCGCATTAAAAATCTGTTAAGAATTCAAAATCTCAAGTTATAAGGAATGATGTCATTAAAATAGTTGGTGTGCCAATAAAGTAATGAGCCATTAACATCACACCTAGGACAATCTTTTTTAAGAAATAAATTTCAACCTATGAAAAATGAAAGAAATATTTTCACATTCATCATGATTTAAGGCTTTTTCCAAACATTAGTTATTGTAGTGCAATTGTTTCTCCTTTAAGATGAAGGTGGAAGCTGGGTGAACAAAGCTCACTGAAGAAAGGGTGGGGACCCCAGTTTTTTTTTGTTTTTTTTTACAAAACTCCAATTTGTCATTTTTTGAGGGGTTAGGCAAGGCTAAGGAGCATTACACCTTTTTAGCCAGAAAGAGAGAGACTGATAAGATTGATTGTAAAAAACAATAACTTCAGGTTTCTGAAACACTATATTAAAGATTCTCATGTGTGTTCTGTGTTTCTTGTTAATAGAATTGAGATTTCAAAACAAATTTTTGATTACATCTCATACAATTACAATAAAAAGACTCAAAGTGCTGCAACCTCAGTCTTTCATGAAAACAGTAAAAATTATGAAATTTATTATAAAGAAGATAAAGTTGAAATTGTATAACTGAAAATTTTCTCAAATGGGAAGAGGAACAGCTTTCACTTCTTCATAGCAGTCATCATATGCATCTTTGTAATCTTCATTTTTGCGTACTAAAACCATGAGACTTCCTCGTTTGACACCCATTGCTATTCCAAGATCCTATAAACAAAAAGAACATTTGTTTAAACATTTGTTCAAAATTCATTCAAATATTATAGAAATATATTATTAAGGGTTTAGTAAATATTTTGTTAAGATGTATGGCAAACCCGTTACTAGAACTATGCAACTTATGTAAAAAGTATGAAAAATATTTAGATATCAATAAACAAACCTGGCGGGAAGGTGTATAGATATAAGGAATATTCTTCTCCTCACAAACACCTGGAAGATGACACATGATCTCCACTGGACTTACATCTCCTGCAAATATTACAATCCTGGAAAAAAAAGGGGACTTATTAACTGGAAACATTACATGTTAAAACACATGCTTTTACAACACCACCACCACCCATATGCTAACCTGCTATAGGTGACAAAAAAAATAAAAAAATCTCATTTTAAGCCTACCAAGTTATGCGATAAAAAACACTGATATTTATCCTCTAGTCTTTCTGCAAAAATCCTACATAAATTGATTGAACTTAGCATTTTTGGGCAGAAGTGTGGAATTCATATCACTGCACCCTTGGGACAAGAAGTTTTACTGTTATACTTTGACCATTGGGCATGTTTCCCCCCCCCCCCCTTCTTCACATCATTCATTAAATTGCTAGAAAATCACTCCAAGTAAGTTGCTAGGAAGGCACTCAAGTTCCTGAAAATTCTGAACTGTGAAAATGAAGCACATACAGAAGAACCCTTAAAAATGAATACTACTAAACCTCACAACAATATGATTACTTTTGTCTGAAGTAGCAGCTTGATTGTCAGCTCTAGAAGGAATATATATATATACTAATAATTAAAAAAAAAGCTTTAAACAGTTTTACACACAATTTTAGTTTGTGACAGCATTAGTGTAAACCACAATATGTGGATTCATGTGTGGGGTATTCTACAAGCTTCAATGTAAAACCATAAAATACACCAATATATATGAAGAGTTTAGATGCAAAATGCAGCATATGATACTCCTGACAAAACTAACCAGCCAATGGCTCCGTATTCTGTCCAAAAATAAAAGAGATTTTGTAAAATTTGAAACAAATTATAAAGCTAGATTTCTTTTAGGTTTTTATATTAAAAGTTGTATTGTTTTTATGTAATAAACAGCCAACTTGTGATTTCATAACATTTTTATAAAACCTGAAAGGAAAAAAAGGACAGATCTTCTCAAAATGGCAATATGTGACAAACATATACGTGTGTGTGTGTGTGTGTGTAGATAAATAAAATTCATATATGATTATTAATGCTCACATACATTCAGTTTATCCATTTTGTACTGTCAAGAAATCTAAGTTGGCCAAAGACAAAATATACCAAAGAAGAACCCACATTTAAGTGTTTCCCATCTCGTTGATAAGACATTTTAAAAACATAGTTACATATTGTCATTTTACTAACTTAAAAAAAACAAGGTTTTCATGTTCAGTACCTTTGTGCTTTGTCTGAAAAAATAACATGTTCAATACAGATTTAAATTTACAAAACCTATGCCCACAATTCCACAACATTGTTGAAATATCTAACTTTTTTAATCACTCAAATACACATACAAAATAATTTTATTTTCTGTACACAATGAAAGATTGATTAAACTAAACTTACCCAGTCTCTCCTTTTCGTATCCTTCCTTGTACATCTTTCAAGCCCTGACGCAAAAATGTTTTATGTTTGCTAGCTGTAAAAGATGACATGTTAATGAGTAGCCATAGTTAAGGGCTTTTGATATATTCCTATAAAACTAATTAAGAGATGACAAACTTTTCACAAACCTATTAAAGTCTACAAGTTAGCAAGAGCATTTATTTTCATTAAGTTCAACATGAAATTATTTCATATGCTCAGTTGGACACGAGTGAAGTTTTGTTAACTATGTAGCCACTATTAACATATTATTATATTTGTCAAATAATATATGAAACAGATTTATTTGCCTTTTAGTAGATATATAAAAACTTTATAATTCTAAATGGTTCAGTGAAATTGTTACACTTTCAAAGATTCACCTATTGATTACTGTTAGCATGCATCATTTTCTGTGGTATTTGCTCAAGTAAAAAAAAAATTAAACATTTTTAACAATAAATGCCTAACCTGGACTTATCTCTTAAACCACCACTGTTTTCAACCAATCACTACTGGTGAGTTTTAAATTTTGCATCACACAGAGTAATTTTATGCGTTTCTCTTTACAACATTCAGGATAAAAATTTAACCAAAATATTATGTAAAATCACTACTTTTCTAAAAAAAGGAATCTAGCAGCAATTTTGGCAGCTGTAATATTTGTTTCAGTGTCTGTATGTGACCCATATATCAACAGGGACCCAACAATGTCTGTAGATGGTCAAGCTTCTGGGAGCCCTCATTAATAGCTGTGATTATGTAAAGTACTGGTAATTTTTTTCTGGGTTGAAGTTCAGAAGTAAAAGGACCTTTCCTTTAGCATATGATTCTTTCATTTATATTTACAACTATGGGCACATATTTTTCTTTAAAAAGTCTGTTCAGCTTCTGAATGTTTGATCTAATTAACACAAACACTATGAATTTGAAATATTATCCTCAACTTAAAAGACATGCAATCAACAGCACCAATTATGTGATGGCTCTGCTCTTAGGAAATGAAAATGGGGCACAGTACTTAGACTGACAGCACTTGTGAATACTTCCAATAAAAGTAAAAATCACGACACCAACATTTTGTGTGCACAATAAAATTATTTCTATAAAGTTAAAAGAAAAAGCACGCTCTACATATTTTGGTGGACAACATGATCCACCATCTTCAGGAGACCAAGAAGGACACAAGGTTCATTTATGTAAAAGAGTAAATGTATGTCTACAATTAGCATATTGTACAGTGGTGCCATTTACAAAATAGAATTCCAGAAATTGCCTCCCATGGCACTAGATGTAAATCTCTATTCAAACTCATAATTTTGTTTTTAAAAATTTCTAATGATTCTGTTATAGTTAATTAATTTTTTAAATTCACCTGTTTAAGTGATTTCACAATGTTTCAATCAATGAACATGTGAAGACTTTGCCATATTTTATAAATGCACAACACACTTGTTTTGTTAAATGCTTAGTACATGCACAATGTTTTTATTTTAAATGCTTTCTTACACACAGAATAATAAGAAAAAGCATTTACCTAGAAAAACAGCTGCAGTATTTTGGAGAATAAACTACTAGACTAAACATTATGATGAATTTCTGTTGCTTTATAGCTGGCAGTATTACTAATATAGTTTGTACTGGCATTTGTTAAAATTCTCAAAAACCATACCATCTCCTTTCTAAGCTATTCTAAGTCATTCCATAATGTTCTAAACTGCAATGCTGACAATATTAAATAGTATGCTAAGCCCTGCTATATTATGCCAGAAATTAAAATTCTTCAAGACACCTCTAAAAACTCATTACCATTAAACCTTGAAAACAAAAGAAGCAATGTCTAGCTAGCTGAAAAACAGCTTAGTTTATTACTTTCACAACCCCATGATTCAGAAGATATTTTGAACTTTACTGGAAAATCCTTCAATCTCCTCTGAGAAGATCCCAAGTTAAAAGACATTCAGCAGCTTCACGAACTCATTACTGAAAAAAAGATCAAGGTGCAACAACACCTAAAACCACAGCTGTAAATCTAAGTTTGAGAACCTTAACAAAATATGAAGACACTTTCTCTTGGTATTAAATATGTTCAACCCTGAAAAAGTCCTGGTTTTTGACACCACAGCTAATGAAAATGCTTCCCAAATGTCTAGAGAAATGGACTGCACCACCTTACACTACCACCAGAAAACACATCAGAATCTAACCAATCAGGAAAAAAAGAAATAAAAGCCTAAAACAGAACACAGCTATTATCATTCTCCTTGTTGACAAATGAAAAAATTGTTATACTACTATAAAAACTACAAACCATCATCCAGAGTGGCCCATATAAAGAACAAAAAAATCCACAAACTGATCAAGATATTGTAAACCTGGAAAAGTTAACAATGTTATCTCTAACAGCAGCAGAACACTGCAGCTCTTCTGATTACCCAAGATACACAAACCAAGTATTCCATATAGAACAACAGTCAGTGCTTCAGGTTTTCCCTTCCACAACATATCATAATACTAGCACAGCACTTCATCACTATTCTTAAACCTCTTAAGTCCAACATGTGTGAAAAACTGGCATATTTGTCATAGAAATCAAGGATTTCAACTTACTTAAGATCCCCTTGTGAATTTCGACGTTACAGACATATTCTCCAATGTTATTATCAACTATAACCTGATTTATTGTCCAGAAAAACAAAATTACTGTAGATCTCCCTAAAACAACAAAAATACCTTAAATATGGATATAATCTTAGAACTTTTTTTATATTGCATTAACTCTTATTGAGTACCAAGAAGCCTTCTATGAACAAACTTCTCATGAATTTCCCTCTCTCGCCATTCGTCAGTCACTTATATAGTGAACATTTTAAAAACAGTGCTTTACAGCATGTCCTTCTGAAACTATAACTAACTCCTGTAATAACAATATTCAGGTGTGCAATATGTAGAAAAGGGTATCCTTCCTTTTTTAAAAATCCTGGCAGGACCACAACAACATCCATCTACAGAAAATCAACACAATCTGACAGATATCTAAATTTCTCATCTAACCACCCTTTCCCTCCCCTATTAAAAGTGGAATCATTAACTGTCTCTTTGATTGTACAAAAAAGCTCTGCAATAAAAATCACCTACAAAAAGAAAAGGACCACCTTAAAAAAGTCTTTCAAACTAAAAACTATCCATGCATTTTCACCCAAGAGACTTGAAGAAAGGACAGTTTAGTGTTTTATTTTTTGTGTTAGGATTGTTCAAGGGACTTCACAATCCAGGAAAGGGGCAGTGTTATAGGCTATATTTTCATTGTTTTACATTAGATGTTTTCTAAAAATGCATGATATTACAATCAAGTAGTTTATAAAAGTAATCACAGAATATCTAAAATGTTAATGATCAATGAAACTTTGTAAAACATCTAGAAACAAAGCTACACTATAAATACAAGAATCAGCAAAATATTCAAATCAGTATTAATTATCACATATATTCAGTTACTCGATTGAATTTCACATTATTTTTTACCAAATAATTTTAAAAATAGCCTGAACAGTGAAAGAAAATACTACAGCAACATTATACAGCTAACGTAAAGCAGTCTGTATATATTTCTAAAAATTGAGAATTTTATAAATTATCTTATCACACATATGCACTTGAACTTTTACAATGCCAGTTCAAAATCACATTGAAATAGTTGTCAAATGTAGGACACAAAAAACTACAACTTCGTTGGTCAGTTGCAACTCCACTTATTTAGAAAAGTTAGAAGCTAAAACCTTGGATCAATTATTGTTTGAAAATGGCATGAACACTTAAAATGAAGTAAATGGTTTCAATTCTTGTAAAATTTGCTTTTATTTTAATTATATATTTGAAATTAAAGCTTTTAACCATCACACTAACCCATATTACAGAAACACTTTTTAAAACATAAATTGTAATATAAGCTTTCACAACCTTTTAATTTAAAGGAAATAAATTAAGGGTAGTACAAATATATTATGAATATGACTAACAATCTTCAAGAATAATGATTGCATCAGTGTCCTTAATATTTTATCACTGAATTTACTGTTATTTATTTAAGTATTTCACTTGTTTAGAAGTAATTAAACTTTATCTAGCATGAGAAAATTAAGATTTCCAAATTTTTTGATGAAGTAGTCCAGTTACTTTATGAAATGGCTATAGATTACAAAGGAATTTATAAATTAAACACTCTAGTTTTTATCATTAGCATTTAGTCTAACTAGCCACCAAAAAAACAACAGGTCATCACTAGTGGTTTGCAACAACACTCCCTTATGGTGATTAGTAGCTACAGATCGAGTAAAATTGTGTGTAATTTTTATTATATTTATTACACATTACATAGGTAAAAAAATAAGTTACTAATATTTTTATCACTTAAGTTATATCATGTGTTAGGTACAATACATATAAAACTATAAAAAGTAAAACAATGTCACTCCAAACAGAACTATTGTGGAAGAACCTTCCCCAAACTTTTCACTACCTGGTTAAGTATGAACTAATAATAATATGACCAAACAATAAAAGTAACAATATCTGGCCTAAATGTCAATCTAGTTTATCAGTAGTCAAATAATTACACAGAAAATCCTTATCTTTTGAAAAAACAAAAGGAAATCCTAAATAGCTGCGGCTGTAATTAGATCTCAAAACGATCAAGAGATGGAGCTATGAACTAAAAAATTTGTACTTGAAAAAACTCGGAGCCATTCTATGAGACGCTATGCCATGGCTAACAAGCTACCTTTTGGACCAACAAATCTACTGAAACTAACAGATACTATGAGATACACTTTGGAAATGATTCTGGTTCAAAATACTACTGCTTTTCTTAATATATATTTGTTAGATGTTCAACAATATTTCTTATACACTTGACACATTACGATCTTAAATATAAAGATCACAAAAACTTTTCTTATATTGATATGTCTATGTAGATGCAGTAAGTACAATAACAATGTCGGATATCTTAATATTTATTATGTGTATTTACATATTACTGCTTCTTAATACAGTAAGTTGTAAATTATTTACTTCCTCTGCTACAATTACTCAGTCTTCTACTATATCCCAACAAATTTCTTCACATTTTATCATCTATTAATATCACCCATACATAAAAGACTATGCCATAAATTCTTGCACAAAATCTGTAAAACCCTATTTGTGATACTGACTGAATTGAAATGCTCTATTATACAGTTTCTCTCTGACTACTGAACAAAGGTAGTTTAACAAATCACAATAAAACTAATCCTTTCAGTTCTAAGTCTACAGTTACTTTAAAATATTGAAATATTAATCTTCCTTTTATTAAATTAGCAGAACTACATTTTAAGACCAGTTTATTTCCATCAAAAAGCATTTTAATCTAAGTTTGCTAGTTTTCACATAAAAATTTTAATCTTATCATTATAACAAAATTACTTGAGAGCTTTTCCAACCTATTTTGATCTGAAACAATTTTTGGCCCACATATACTGTATGTAGCTGAAATACATAGATCATGATGTTACCAGAAATTTAAAAGTCAACAAAAGCTGTGATCACCAGTGTAACAATTCATCAAAACATCACTAAATTGTACCATTTTAGTGTGGTTATAATATGCTGCTAAAAACTGAGTATATTGTGATACACTCCAAAAAATCCTGTTACAAATAACAGTTCTTCAAATGTGTACACTGACTAGAGTTATTACACAAATAATTTAAAATGTCTTTGAGTTGTGAATTAACAATAACAATTAACAAACTAGCTGATGCACCAGTGACTTGTAAGTTCAAGTCATTTAAGTCATAAAAAATTTCTGCAAATTATTTATGTTTTTTATAGTTACAAAGTACTGTTATTTTAAATAAGTTTATTGTTCAAAATATATCAGTTCTTTTGAATAAAATGGGGAACATGATAAATATGTGTATTATATCATATCACATCACCTAATCAACAGTGATACATAGCTCTAATGATCATATGAAAACTACTATCTTAGCTTTGTTGGGATATTAAAGCAGTGACATATTTAAATAAATGGTTATATTTTTTAGACATCATTTCTTTGAATTATATGCACACTGAGCTACAGATGATATACGACACTTTTAATGAAAAACCATTGTTGAATCAAAAATGACAGATTTTAATATAAGAATAACATGTCTCATAGCACATTTGTGTTCCTTTTAATTTTATTCAGAAACGTAGATTTTGTTGAAAATAATGAAATTTTTATGCATACATTGAAAATTATATGCTTACTACAGAATCAACAGTTAGTATATGCTGAATTTCTACACTGCGTGTGTCAGCTTTTTTAGCTACTTCTAGTACTACCACTACTAGTAGTTCAACAACAATGCCTCAAACAAAGGTCTGTACGTCTAATTTAGTACATTGTAATATCAAAACACCATATTACATCGTGTTCAGAAATGCCTAGACTTTACGTTTTTTAACATTTTATATTTTAAATTGAATAAACACCATCTAAATGGAAATTACTAAGTTGTTAACCCTAAGCAATTTTAATATAGATAACAAGTTACGATATATTTTTAAAACTTCCAAATTTCCTAATTTTGTGTACACACCTCATTTTAGAACTGGTAAAAATTAATTTTTAGGCCTATAATATCATAACAATCGTGGTTTACATGAATAACATCAAAAACACACAAACAGTAATATTATAGTAATAGTAATATTACACTACAGTTAGGCCTTCGTACGTCAAGCTTACCTTTTTTTATAAGTTTATACAACTTCTTTGCTAATTTGCGAGAAGCCATAGGTTTGGCTATGGCACTAACATAGTTAAGTTTTTCGTCATATGGTAATTCTTTCATTTCTCCAGGTAAACTTGTATCACCAGCTGTTGTATCTGCATCATTATCATCAAGATCACGTTTTTCCTTTTTGATTTTCGTCATCTTCACATTGATTCTCAAAATCTCAAATGGCCAAAAGCATGGCATATGTGACCCTCTAGTGGAAGATTAAAGAACAAGATAATTTTGTAGGGTAGATATTTTTCTATCTACTATACTAATATAGTTTGATAGATCGCAGTTACAACATTCTGTTGTGCGAGGGGAGTGGAGGTTGAATACTAAAGTCACATTCAGAAATAAAATCATTTTAAATTATTTATTTATCATATAGTATAAAATGCTATTTACCCACTTTGTCAAGTTTAGACTTAAGAGCTATCCCATTTTTTGAGTTACCCTAGCAAAAATATCAAAATATGCGTATAACATTCATAAACCATGATTGTTTTGGATATTTAACAATTTCTAAAATGATGAATAAATATAAATGTGTTTAATTTAATTGTCAACAAATCATCATTCTTTTGTAACACTGCATAGGAAGCTAGGCTTAAATTACCATAAATATGTAAGTTTTTTTTTCTATATAGTAAAGTACTGTAACCAAGTGCTTAGTAACCAACAGTGTAACGAACATTTGTATATACGTTTGACTTGTTTTAATATATTATTTTAAAACAGGTGGACTGTGTTGCTGTTTGTTTATTGTTTAAATTTATCACCTACAAGTCAAAGACACCTACTGTAAAGAATCCGGACTACAAAGCTTTACAGTAGCAATACGGCTTCGGCTTCCAATAACAAAGTGTCAATAGAAGCCTCTGTATGCCACTATTTCAAGGTAAAAAATATTAATATTTCATCAGAAGAATGTAGACTATCCAGAAAACATTAAATATCATAAGCATCTGCGCTATAACTATATAAGCATAATTTTTTATATCACAAAAAACCCCTGCGTACATGTGTGAAGATAATATGATGACGAATACCGCAAAAAAAAGAAAAAGAAAAAAAAGCATTGATATTGAAATCAATCGAAAGGTAAGCCTAAAAACAATGCCACTGTCCTCTTGTGACACCTGTTGGTTGTATGTCCTTTACACGTTCCCAACTGTTGAACTTTCTCAGGAACTTTACTGCCATCTGTTAGTTGTTGGAAAAAGATCCAAACACAGCATCAAGTATTTTACCCTAGTGACAATCATATAAAAACTAGACTTCTATTTCTTAATTTAACTGACTTTTGAATACTGCATAGTATATTTGTTGGAATAATCTTTACACTTTATTAAGCAGAGTTTCAAATGATGAAGTAATTCAGCATAAGCTATCCTAATGATTCCTGGAAATGTGGTTGTTGTTTTCAGATATTTATTAGCAACTTTTGAAGAATACCTATCACGCTTTATTTTTGTTTCATTTAGGAATTTTTCCAAGCTAAGAGATGCTTCAACATACACTGTCCTAATGAGTTCACCACTTCTGGTGAGTATACTGAGATTTTTATAAACAACTTGATAGATTCAAATAGTATTTCTAAGTTTTGTTTCATCATATATAGCATCGAAAACTAGTCACGTGCTAAGAAATCCATCATACATCTGTTGAGATATTTTGGGCGGGATTCTGAAGCTTATTTTCAAAGTTTGGGTGCAGACACGAAGAGATCTGTTAGGCATGTGTTAAATTAAATTTTAGGGTTATGACAACACGATTATTCTATAGAAAAACGTGCTGTAAAGAACAGTTTCTTAATTGGAAATGATGTTTTCTGAGATGAACGTTTTGGGCAATGGTTATTAGAGGCATTAATTTTTATTCAAAGTGGACTAGCTGGTAATAGTTTAATTGACCTTCTACGTTTCTTGGCAGTATAGTAATCTGGTCATCCACACCTTTATGTAGTAGTCATGACATCTGTAGTTTATAAACAGCTCTAAGACTGATACATATTGCTTAAACAGCGCTCTGAGCATAATCAAACTTGTCCCGGATCTGGTTTTTTTTTATGTTTCTTCATCAGCGCTTTGCGCAATGCCTTTTATAGTCCTTTAATATAATACTTGTAGGCTTATTGTCGAAAGGATTCACTTCGAAAGGAATAACACTGACAAAAATATCGCTTAGAAATATTAAAGCAACAATAACAATAAAACATAAAAAAACGACCACACGCAAATTTTAATTGAAGGTACGTAATGAAAAACATCAATATGCCATCTAAAACTATGACTTTGAAAATAATAAACCCGAAAGAAATAGCTCCCGAAAGAGAAAGCATTGTCCCTGAAATTATATTATAATTCCCTATTTGTTCAACAGGTGCCGCAGTAGATGACGAAGACCATGTATCACTCGTTCAGTTTTAAGCGAGTGTGGTTTGTAAATGTACACAAACGTTCATTGAAAATTTTCAACTTCCATTTCCTACCACACACACACACCCAAATTTAGATCAAGTGACGAAATATCTTCGATCAGGTATATTTCGAGATATATTAATAAGGATATTATGAGGAAAACATAATATAATTTTCTTGTTTTGACTTACCAGCTATTTGAAAAACGTTATGAATGCCATATATGTCCAATTTTCACTTCAACCGATGATTCGAGAATTATTAATTATTTAAAAACCTATTATATTTATACCTTACGTAGGTGCATTATTTATACAAGTATATTATCCCAACCAGTTTACTGCTATATGTTGTGTTAGCAGACTTTAAACTCATGGCTTTGTTCACATAAATGTTTTATTACATACAATTGTAACGAGTTAATTTGTTTCGGACATTCGCACAAAGCTACACAAGGGCTCTCTGCTCTAACCGTTCCTACTTTTGAGCTGATAGACTAAAGGGAAGGCAGTTAATCAACAGCGCCCACCGCCAATTCCTGGAGTACTCTAATAGAATAGTGGAATTTGACTGTTACTCCTATGACGCACCACGGTAAAGAAATGCGACGAACAATCTTGCGGTAACGAGACATGAACCGTGGACAACTTGTTATTATTATTATCAAAAAGATTTGCATAATCTTATTTGTTTTGTGAAGTTTCTAATGTAAATCAAGTTAAGCCTTTTATTGTTTCGCTGGTTGTCGCGTGCACTTATTTGAAAGGTCCACCTATTATTTCCCGGAAAGGGGACCGAAGGCCGCTTGAAAGGGACACCTGTTTTAACCACTCGCACAACTATATTGTAGTGCTTTGTCTGTCAGTCAGTCAGTAGACACTAAAAATGACGTCACATAATGGACGTTGCAGTTTTTACTGTCGTGACGTCAGTAAAACATGACTCACGAGAAGAATTATGCACTCTGTAGGCTACAACACAGCATGACATATGAACTCCAAAAGCAAGAAATAAAAATATTTGTTATCCTTAATTTTGGTTTTATTTATTCTTGAAATAGAACACATTCTGGGATCCTGTGGAAGTACATTAAATAGTATTAATACTTGAATTGCATCAATGTTAGAAACAACGCATTGATTTCATTTACAATGAGGTATAACTATAAGGAGAATTTTTGCTTTAATGGACTGTTCCTGGCTGTGTCTAGAGTGAGACGAAATACTGAGACCTTATTCAAGACCTCATTATAGAAGCTGAGATATCATGAGCAGTCGAAACTTTACTATGTTTACATTGCCTAAAATACCCTTGAGACAATTTAATAGCCATTGTCTAGGTTTTCAGGATTAATGAACACAGAAGCGATATACCATACTATCAGGGTTATAAGTATTAGATTGTTTTAAATTATCTAAAAATATCAATCTCCCAATGGGTCAGAGTAGGTTTACGGAGCTATGACGCTAAAATCCGGGATTCGATTCCCTGTGATGGAGAGAGCGCAGATAGCCTATTGCAAGAGTTGACAACCCAAATAACAACAATAACTTTTTTTCATATTTGATAAAAACGCAACATACTGAGAGCTACAATGCATGTAACCCTTACTTCAATAATTGGACAGCGAGAGGGTTATTGAGCTTGCCGACCCCTGGCCTATTGTGTAGCTTTACGTTAAAACAAACAAACTAACTAACAAAAACGACGTTAATAAGGCAAGTAAAATACTTTTTTAGCTCTCATTGCAGCGATGAAGCATAATTTATATTTAACAAAAGTTGGAGGGCGGGTTCGAGGGGTTCGGACGAACCCCTATTTTCCCATGCAGTGTTGCAACAGAATGATGATTTGTTGACTTTTCATTGTATGTTTGTGG